CAGATGGGAGCCATCTAGAGGAAGTGGGGTGGGATGGAATTACATGTGGATATTACCTGTTAGGGAGAAGGGGTTTCCAGATGTCACTAAAGGTTAGACCATTACGTTCATTTTATAAGTTTTATTTTCATGATTTCAATATGTTCATATAATTTCCTTTTTGTGCTATTTTTTTCTATTCTGAGTATTTTTAGATTATTAAGTGAGATCTCGCAACCTGGACTATTGCAATGTATGGCTATGGCAGAATTGCTATTGAGTTACATCGCTTTCTTTTAGTTTACTAATATTTAAAAAATCTTTCTTATAAAATTTCTCCAAAAGGCATTATAATGTGACAGTTGTTTGCCATGTATTATATGTAAATATAGTTTATTTATAGTTATTATTTGTAAACATTTCTGAAATGTTCTCTGCCTTTCTTTTTTAACTGGGTTTATTACCTAGGAGGACAATAAACCCAGTGGGAGTTAAGGAGGCATTGTATATAAAAATGGGACAGAAGAACAGGGAGGTTGTTTTTCTGTTGGAGGTACTTGCATGAATAGAAGGAAGGCTTGAAAAGAAGCTCTCTAGGTCATGATAACTATAAAGTTTATGTGAGATTTGGACCATGAACTTACTAACAGAAAAAATCTAGAGATGGGAAGGATTGCCTGACATCAATCTGTCCCCAGTTTACATTTAGAAAGAGAAAATTATTGTCTTAATTCACCATTTTGGGTTTAGTGGTACTTCTCCAATAGGTATCCTTATAATTTCTCCTCCCTCTCCCACATTTCGATCTTCTCTAGCTTTAGAATAGTTTTACGATAGACTTTTTAAGATTACAAGCTGATGCACAAAATAGTTGTCATGATTAATGAAGTTTTGTAACAAGAATTGTGAAATAAATTTTTATTTTTGTGACATATTTGTTAGGTTCATTTACAAATATTTATAAAAGAATAAATACTCACAACAAAAATATAACAATATTCTTTTAAGTTTAAATATTATTCCAAATGCTAAATTTATATAATGTATGTTTTAGGACACTAATGCATTCTATCCATCAAACATTAATTTGTAAAATGTAGTGTATAAGACTCAAACCAGGCCTATTAAGAAGACTAAAAATATCTGTTTTTAAAGTAAATATTGCTGGAGTATAATGTAAGGTTTCCTCTTTTTTTATAGCATCCCCAATCCCAGATTTTATAACTTTTTAGATTGAAAGTCTGCCAACTGTGATCAAGCGCTGCTCTAGCATGTCAAAATAATTACATGCATTAACTATTGTTTTAGCTAAAAAAAAAAAAAAAAAAAGCTATATTTGGTCAACCATCCAACAGCACCAGACATTGACGTTGGGCTGTAAAGTATCATCTCCCTTACATAATGTGGATTGGTTGAGCCCCAGATATAAATGATATATTTGTTTACTTTACCAGATATGTGACAGGTGGATTTATTAGAAAATGCTATCTTATTTGGGAAAGTCTCATCCCTGTGGTGTTACTACACCATGTTTTATATTATTATATTTATTTTTCCTCTCCTTCCTGCATATATATACACGCACACACACCTGTCAGTGCACCCTGGGTATGCAATTGGTCACTATAACAATGGCATAGCAGGAAACAAGATCTTGATAGGCTAGGTAATGTTTCTGGGGAACAAAAAAGGAAATGACAAGAAGAGAAATCTTATCTTTTCTGTGGAGTTTGTGTGTGTGTGTGTGTGTGTGTGTGTGTGTGTGTGTGTGTGTGTGAAGAGAGAGAAGAATTAGACAGATAACAAGCCTAGGCAGTTATGGAGATCAACTACAAATTAGAAGTTGGACTATATATGGAATCCACTTGCATTGGAATTTATATCAGGTATGAACAGCAAATATTAATTGGAACTTTGAACTCTGTGATAAAACTGAAAATTTGGAAGATTAGTTCACTGATCAAAGGTAATTACAGTATTTCAATCAAGAGTGGCCAACTCGTATATAAATGTTATTGTACTGTATGCACTTGTAAGACTACTATTACATTTATACATCAATGTGCAGTCATATGTATGTATATTTGTGATAGATAAATATAGCTAGATTTTTTTTTGTTAAATAAGTATAATAGAATTGTATATCAACTTATTATTCATGTCTCCCCAATTTGTTTACATAGGAAACTACATCCCTATTCAGACATTCAATATTGTTCACAAAAAAAAGGTATACATTGTGATTTGTCATTCTGCAATTAACTGCAACAGTTAAGGTTGATTTATTCATAAGGCTGACTAGGCTGAAGCCTAGCAGCCCATCAATTTTAACACATTTGACCTGATGACCATACAGTTACATACATACATTAATTTATCTTTCTTTGAAATGTGTCTTCTCACATTTCCTAAGGGCATAATTTTAAGTTATTTTTATATTAATTTGCATAATAATATATGTTAAATAACAAACATATGCACGCAGAAATCTAAAGTTTATTTTTTGTGATGAAGGTCCTAGCTTTTCTGAAATTCTTGTTTTTTGCGATAAAATTGTGTAGTTTCATTTGTCGCTTTTTTTCTTTCCTTAAGCAAATGTCAGTAGCATAAGATTGCATCCAAAACACCTCGTTTTGCTTTTGCACTCCTTTCAAAATCTGGATCATTTGCTACAATTTGATCAATGATTTCGGTTATCGTTATCAGACTTTTACTAAGGAAATCTGTAGAGAAATTCTTTGGGTTCTTCGCTTTCAGAATCACTATTTTCCAGTTCTACATGAATGCCTTGTTCTGCCAGTTCTTGAAGGTCGTCATTGGTAAGGTTCTCACCAGAAACCTGCAGTAACTCCTCAATATCTTGTTCATCTACATCTCCTAGTCCTTCTGTATTGATTAAGTTGACAATTTGGTCAACCTAACATACAGCGATGGACTCTTCTTGTTGAGAATTCTTGGATCCTTTCAGTCAGAACTTCTTCCACACTCCATTCATGCATTTATCAGTTAATTCTTGCCAAGTGAAGTTGCCATTTCCTATGGCATCCATGATGTTATATTTTTTCCAAAATTGCACAAAACAAACATAGATTTAAGGAAAGTATAGCACTACAATAAATTACCAACTTTTGCTGATTGGTTCATGTTCGTAAATAATTGTATTATTTACGAAACAATAAAATGATACAATAATTTGAATCAGCTTAAATTTTGAGCATTTCTTTAGCCTGTGAGCAGACTGCATTATATTGAATCAGCATTAGTTGAAGCAGTGTTAAGCAGGGTCTTACTGTATTATCATTAAATAATTTAATGTTTAATTCTTTTAAGTTACTACCATTAGGTCAAATAACTAAAAACATAATTATTGCAATTCAATGTATTTCCTACGGAACATTAGAATCGCAGAAAACTGGAAAAGTAATGAAAAACATACAAAATATACCCAAAACAAGAAAAACTATTTAATAATACCTATTATTTATTATTAAATAGTTTTACTGGTTTTGGGTATATTTGGTATGTTTTTCATTACATACAACAGTTTTTGGAACTCTGTGAAACTGGAGAATAAAAATAGCTACTAAATACTGAGAGAAGATACTGGGGAAGTATCTGAATGAAGTAGGTAGAACACCCTAAATTTATAAAGGTGTGCTACTTAATCATTAGGTCATCCAAAAACCCTAACCTTACTCAAATACATGGATATGTTATAAATTTATAAAGCAAATAAAAAGCAATTTGTATAAACTAGAGTTATACCAATGACTCTTTATTGACAACTTAGAAATCTTTTTACAAACTCTGACTTTTGCTTACTCCTATGATGTTTATTTCATAAGCACTTTTATTTTATTTTTATGTTTAATTATTATCTTATTTATTATTTATTTTATGTTCATTTATTATATATTTTTGTTGATTTTTTTTCTGTTGAATTTAAATTTTACACATGTTCTATTTTATCTAAAATGTATTTTTGTCTTCTTTCTTATTTAAGTTTTGTTAAATTTTGACTATATGAGAGTAGGTCAAAAATATTTTTGGTTTATTAAAATATATCGCTGGAGCGGTATACTACATATTTCATATGGAATACTAATTACCGTAAAATTGTGGAATGGCATAGAAACAAAATCAAAAACCAAAAGTTTTTTGATGTATTGTCATAAAACTGACAGATAATAGAAAACAACCAACAGAAGGAAAATAAACAATTGCTGAATCAGATTTGAGAGACAAAAATTGGTCTGGAGTAGGACTTGAATCTGCAACTCCTATTTATCATACAGATGCATCGGCAGTTGCACTACATGGACCTCTGTCTGATCTTTAACTATTAATAATTTAGGCATAACCATACTGATTGCTCATAACTGGGGACAATTTAACTGTCCTCAATGCCTTTCAGCCAGCTATCTCTTCACACCAGCATAATATGTGTGTCTATATATCTATATATACATAAATATAAACATTCAATACAATAACCCAAATTTAAAATTAAAGCCTGTTCTTGTCTTCCAATACTTTCTAAATTAAATTTTGGTATTTTTGAAACCGTGCCAGTAATTTTTAATCCAAACACAAATTATTTATCGTATTTAAGATCGATAGATTGATAGACATATTATAGATTTAAATTACCTTAAAACACATTTGACTGAAAGGTCAACGGAATAAAATTTAATTCCGTGATTTGCCAAGTGTCTGTATAAATACGATAAATAATTTTTGTTTGGATTCTAAATTAAAATTAAAAATTAATTTAGTTATAATTATTAAATTTATCAAGAGATGGTGACCTAACCTCATACTCTAATCAAATTATTTTATTATTAATTATTGAAATTAGACTTAAATAGCCTGATAATCAGGCAGATTGCTTAGCTTTAGTTTAAATTTGGTTTATTGGATTGAATGTTTATATTTATAATTCATCCTTTAAGTTTTTCTAAATGTTTATTAATTTTATAATCTGATTTAAATGAACAAAATAAAAAAACATTTCTACATACCTCTCTGAAAATTGAATAAATAATATTAATTGTTTGGTGGCAGATCTATATTCAGATATTGAAAATGCTAATTTTATAGACATGGTATTTAATGATGAATTTATCATATCAAAGTCATATTTCATAAATGACTTTCCATCAAATCTTCCTCCAATATCTAACAAAAGAATATATGAAAATATATTTACTATAGTTAGTAAGTAAAACTTAAATATTAAATAGCTTTTGTAAGTATTGTGTTCTTGATTTTTGTTATAATTTTTCATTTATAAAACAGCAATTTATAAATACAGCAAAGCATCAAAAATCTAGACTAATTGGAGGTGAACCCTATCTGGATTTTCAAATACAAATTATTTTTATTTGAATTATACATTATTAAATTTGAACATATAAATTAGCATTTTAAGTACTGTAAACTTCAAAGACACTGTAAATTAAGTTTGGATGTTCTAAATTCAAACCACTACTTTGAAAAGAATGAAGCAATACTCACAAAGATTCAAAATATAATTTACAGAATCACTAACTCATACCACTAATGAAACAGAAGCACCAATAAAACCAAAACTCCAACAAAATTTGTGAGATTTTAATGTAAAAGCAAACAAACAAATGTTTTTGATAGTTTTAAACTATCATCATCAAAATAAGAGCAATGAAAAAGGAAATCCAAATTGAAAAATAAAAAACACCAGATCCAAGCATACCTGCATGAGATCCAACTTCTACATCCAACCACTTTACTGAAAGCAGATGGTAAGTAGCCTTAACATGGTAGAATTTGACCAGCTGTTTTTTGACAAAAAATGTCAAAGAATTACATTTCTCGAACACCAGACGTATTTGGTTTCCCGGCTTGTGGGCATTGGAGAATGCAAAAGTTCTCAGTGTTTTTGGTGCATGGACTATGGAGCTGTGCATATGTAAAAGTCATACCAAGAAAGTGGAGTTGAATCTATTAACCCTTTGTTGTAATGTTTCTACGGTTAAAAGATTCACCTCCACTCCCTTGGCATGACTTTTGCATATGCACAGCTCCATAGTCCTTGCACCAAAAACACTGAGAACTTTTGCATTCTCCAAGGCCCACAAGCTGGGAAACCAAATACGTCTGGTGTTCAAGAAATGTAATTCTCCAACATTTTTTATCGAAAAACAGTCGGTCAAATTCAACCACTTTACTCACTTAAATGTCTATGAGCTATTGGAAATATACAAGATGCGTAAGAAAAATACTGCCATCAATTTCAAGAACAGTAACACCCTGTATCATGCATGGAGAGCCTTATCTAAGGTCCTTTTATAATTTTTTCTACCATCTTACATCACTAGGCTAACACCCATCAGACAATGCCTTCTCAATATTTAATAAACAAACATTCAAATTTTTGTTCTGTTTTTGAACACTACTCTTAACTTCATGATGATAACTTAATTAAAGCTATTAAAAAACAGTTGTTTATTTTTACATTAAATTATCACAAATTTCACTAGAGTTTTGGTTTTATTGGTGTTTATAAATAGAATCACTATATTAAAAAATACACTGATTAATTAATTTCAAAATTAAAAATTACAAATTCTGTATTATATGGTAGCTTCATGTAAGAACAATGAAGCTACCATATAATACAAAAATTATACACCTTTCAAATGAAAAAAATGTGAAAAATGTGTTTTGTATTATATTTAAGTTTCAGCTTACTTATGAGATAAATGAAGTTATCAGTGAAAAGGATTAATATCCATTTTTGATGGCTAAATCTGGATTTTTCATGCTTCACTGTAAAATTAATTTTTCAAAAATGAAATATTTTACATTAATACTTGATTGCTTCTTGTTCTTTCTTTTTTCTTTGGGAGGAAGCACAAAACTGCTAAATGGAACTTATCATACAGGAACACTTTTACTGCAGATGAATAAAATAGACTATTTTGTACAATGGAACAGATATGTATTTCAGGCTATTTGCTACATACTGGCTACATACTGTGCAATAATTAAAACTGAAGAATAAATCAGGAAATCTTATTTTTTCTGAGTTTTAAATGTATGTAAGATATAAATTATTGCTAATTTTAATGTAATTTATTCTGTAGTTTTAACTATTGTACAATATGGACTGAAGAGGGTCAAATAACCCAAAATGCATGTCTGTTCAATTGTACAAAATAATGGATAAAATTTTGTACTGTTTTAGTCTAATAGTGTTTCTGTATAAGTTCTATTTAGCAATTTTATGCTTATTCCTAAAGAAATATTTTACATCTGAAAAAAGTTATAGGATATATTATATCTGTAATGTTATAATTCTACAAGAGACATTAATTTAAATGTTTAAACATGAGATTGAGAAAAAATTCCCTTAATCCATTCAAGACAAAATTGCCTGAAAGGAGAGTTGTTTGACTGGTTTTGCTATACAAATTTTCCTTATAGCCTCAGGGATAAAAACAATTTCATCTTTAAGCATTTAAAAGAAATTTTCAGAGCTTAAAGAGTTAAATCATCTAATAGCATAAGTAAAAGTGTTATTTTAAATTGAAATTAGAAAATTTATAAACTTATATTCATTTTCGTTAAAAATTATGTAAAAAAATATAAAAGTAAGTAATCATTAAAATTGTCCAGGCATTCTAAATAAAAACCCACATATTTAAATATTTGAAATTTACAAATTATTCTCCAAAAATTTTTTATAATATATTGTTTATGTTTTGTTTGCAACCAATTTAGAGTAATGATTGCATATCTAAATCATCTAAAATTGAAATATAAATAAAATATTTGCTTTAATGGATTATAAATTATTAGATCTATACTAGGGTGACCAGATATTGACATAGTCAAAGTAGGACATTTGACAACCCAGCTTAAAACAATAAAAATCGGTAGTAAAAAAAGCACAAAACACTAAAAATTGATAAGTAAATAATTTTAAATTGATATACTACTCTTGTTGTTTTAAATACTACTCTTTGTTGCAATTGTACCCATTATTTAATATAAAAATATGAAAAAAAAGTTTATTGTTATTATTAATGACTACCTATTGGCCCAGAAGTAGTTATCTGTGAAAGTAGGACATTTCCATTAGGCGGTAGAATGTAGGACAAAAGGTTTAATTGTAGGACATGTCCATCCACAGTAGGATGGGTGGTCACCCTAATCTATACACATGAAGTAGACACAATTCATTTTCTGTCTGAACACAAACTAAGAATTGAATAAGAGTGCTAGCAAGTCAATAATATTGTTTTGAAGCATTTATAATGATCAATTGTTGCCAGTGCTGTCTTATCCATTAAGCACTTTAGGCACAGTGCCTATGGCCTAAAAAATTAAAAATTGAGAAAATAGATGTTATGAAAAAAGAAATTAAAAACACACTGAGTGTGACATTAACAGTACTCAGTGTGTTCTTACTTTCTTTTTATGTGATATTTGGCATGAGGTTCAAGCTGTATTGTGGATAGAAGTTATGGGAATTAAAATAAAACATCAAATTTTTGCTCAGTCAGTTTATTTTATGTTGACTTTTCTATACCTTTTGCATGCAAAATCTTTAATAATTTCCTCAACTGGCAACTGTTTTTATATTTTCACCTTCTATGGAAAGTATAGATAAATATGATAATTTTGTTTAAGACAAATTAGATCTTAAATGATTTTTAATGTAATTTAATGTTGAAAAATATAGTTTTCCTTCAGAATTTGATTCTAAGATTGACATGTACAGTACCGTACATTCTAAGAGCAATGCTTGTATTAGGAAAGCTTGATACTAAATTCTGCTCCTTTTGCTACAACGATAATTCTTATACAGTTGTCCCTTCATAATCCAACAGGTATGGGACCAAAAGTGTCCAGATTACTGAAAGTGATTACATATTTGGCATTATTTTGCTAGCAGTAGCCTACAATATTCCCTACTCCAACTGTTCGAACAGAACTGCTCACAGAAAACACATGAAATGTGTGTCATTGTGTAAGAATTGGATGGGGAGATTCATGTTGCGACATGCTTCTGTGCAAACACACGTAACGGGGACGGGTACCTTGATAGGAGGTGTGTCGGACTACTGAGCATGTCGGATTACAAAACGTCAGATTATCAAGGGACAGCTGTATTATTTTGCAATCCGGAAACAATTTAAACAAATAAAATAAAAAAATTATATTTAAAAAATTAAAAAGTACCTAGGGCATACAAAAAGCTTAATGCAGCTCTGCTTGCTGCTACTGTGGCAGTGATGTCAACACTGGCATAAAAAAAAATTTTTTTAATTGTGCACACTTGTACTAGCAACCTTGGACATTGCCACTTTCACCTCTGACATTCATGGAGAGGCAATTCTTGCACTGGCTGGGCACAGAGATGATTATTGCATTTACCAATATGGAAAGGCAACCCTTACATTAACTTGGCATCAATTGCTTATTTTTATGTTTTGTTTCTTTTTGGCATCCATTTTCCATTAGGCCTGTGTAATGCCTTTCTTTTTTATTTTTGCCCCCCCCCAAATACCATTAGGTACACTCAATCATGCCAGTGAGCATGGATATTGTCACTTTGACCCTACTGTCTTTCAAAATCAAGGCATGAACTCCCACTTTGTATTACATTTTTGGATTCCTCATCACAATTAATATAAAGTGGCAAAGTTTTATCAAAATTGACTAATCAAATTTTGAGAATGAACTCAATTCTATAAGCAACATAGAAGGGTTTTATAGAATTAAAACAAAGATTGATAGATCAAATTTTAGCTCTAGAAGAATTTAAAGACTAACTCTGTCTGCTCCAACCAATATTCTTGTGATTTCCCAACAATCAAAATCACATACATAGATATTTAGTATTACCTCAAAACAACTGATTTGTTCAAGACAAAAAGAAGCATACAATCCAGAATTAATGCAACCATACTCAAACTAAGACGAAACTAAATACTTAGACACTGAAACTAAATACTTAGACACTAAAACTAAACTGGTTGTAAGTTGGAAGAGAGAAAGAGCAAAGATTAAAAAAACAAAAAGACAAGTTATAATATTAGATTTTTCTGATAATGTTAGAGACTGTAGCGATACATATATCCAAGACTGCTAACAACGTTGTCCAAGGAATTCATGCAAGATATGAACAGTAAGTCTTATTGTTCAATGTAAAAACAAATACATGGAAGCAAGAATGCATACACCTTACTTGCCTTGTGCTGAGGAAGAAAAAAGAGGGTTTG